GTGCATCCTGGGGGTGTGACATGCCGCCTGCAGGGGCGTGGTGCCCAGCATGGGCAGGGGGGACAGCCGCAATGGCACCCCACCGGGATTACACTGCCATAGCGGTGCGCTCCACCTGCACTCCTCTTCCTCCACCAGTAGACCCCTGGACAGTTAAGTCCAGTCAAAGGCAACTATGGGGTTGCGGCGCACATCTCGCTTTCAGGCCGAGGGAGCAAGCATTTGTCCACAGACAGCTTTTGGGTCATGTGGCCAGCATGACTAAACTGCTTCTCGTGCACGGAGGTGTGTGACGAGTGCCAGAGCGCACGGAAACGCCATTTACCTTCCCGCCGGAGCGATACCTATTTATCTACTTGCACTGGCATGCTTTTGAACTGCTAGGTAGGCAGGAGCTGGGACAGACCAACGCGAGCTCACCCCATCATGGGGATTCGAACTGCTGACCTTCTGATCGGCAAGCCCAAGAGGCTCAGTGGTTTAGACCACAGTGCCATCCGTGGAAAACCAAAGAGCAGGACTTGAGCAGAAGAGCACATTCCCCTCCTGTGGTTTTCAGCAGCTGGTATTCAGAAGCCCTGTTGCTTCCAACTGAGAGCATAGCCATCATGGCTAGGAGCCATTGATAATTCTCCATGAATTTGTCTAATCCACTTGTAAAGCCATACAAGTTGATGGCCATCACTGCCTCCTGGAGGAGAGCGTGTTCCATTGTTTTAACTATGTGCTGCATGAAGAAGGACTTCTTCTTCTTCTTTTTCTTCTTCTTCTTCTTCTTCTTCTTCTTCTTCTTCTTCTTCTTCTCCTCCTCCTCCTCCTCCTCCTCCTCCTCCTCAATAATTTATACCCTGCCCATCTGGCTGGGCTTCCCCGGCCACTCTGGGCAGCTTCCAACAGAATATTAAAATACAGTAGTCTATTAAACATTAAAAGCTTCCCTAAACAGGGCTGCCTTCAGGTGTCTTCTAGAAGTCTGGTAGTTGATTTTCTCTTTGACATCTGGTGGGAGGGTGTTCCACAGGGCGGGTGCCACCACTGAGAAGGCCCTCTGCCTGGTTCCCTGTAACTTGACTTCTCACAGCGAGGGAACTGCCAGAAGGCCCTTGGCGCTGGACGTCAGTGTCCGGGCTGAATGAGACGCTCCTTCAGATATACTGGACCGAGGCCGTTTAGGCCTCTTTTATCTGTCCTGAACATCCAATATGCCACTTCATGTCCACAAGTCTAGTATAATAAGGGCGGGAGATAAAACCCTCTCTCTCTCCACTGTCTCCATGCTATGTGGAATTTTTAAAGCTTTTATCATGTAGCCTCTCACCATTTCCCTAAACAAAAAAGTCCCAAATTGGCAAAAATGTATAAATCTAAATCATATAAGTGTTGGAAATGTAAAGAGAAAGAAGGTTCTTTTTATCATATGTGGTGGCCTTGTAGTAAGGTTAAAGCTTACTGGGAAATGATATATAATGAAATGAAAAGGATGTTTAAAATAACATTTGTAAGAAACAACAACGACCCAGATGCTTTCCTTTGGGGAATTATAGGGACAGAATTATCCAAACTGTATAGAAACTTAGTCATATATGCTACTACAGCAGCAAGACTGTTACTTGCCTCCAAAATGGAAAGAAGCAGAAGTATCAGCAAAGGAAGAATGGATACAAAAACTTATGGAATATGCAGAAATGGCAAAACTTACTGGGGAAAATAAGAAATAAAGACAGCAACTTTTTATAAAAGAATGGAAATGGTTTATTGAATATTTACAGATAAATTGTAAACAGATGAGAGCATTGGAAGGGTTATTGTAATAACCTGCAGTTTCATAAGAGTATATATCTAAAGCAGATGAATAAATGAACAAATTAAGTTAATTTGGATATGCAGAAGATATTAAAAATAAATTTAAGGAACCGCTGAAAGAGTGGGGAGGAAGTCATTGAAATGTATAAACCTGAAAATTATAAATAATGTTTTTAAAAACAGTCCCAAACACTGCAACCTTTATTCATAACAGACTTGTACCATCCCCTTGACCTTTCTGACGGCCCTTTTCCAAACCTTTTCCAAATAACTAGCTCTGTTAGCTGTCGATGCTAAGTTTTCTTTCATGTGTCAGGCAGCCATCCTCACACCTTCAGATAGAAGGCTGTTCTCAAGAAGCCCTTTAAATAGAGGACTGTCTTCTGTAAAACAGAACTCATGGCCCCTCTGCGCTTCCAATATCCCGTGCACATTCATCTGACCTTTATTTTTTTTAATCGATTTTCTTTTTCTAATCACGAAAGGGCATTGCCGTTTGAGCTTTGGGTAGCAACTACATCACCTCTTCCTTGCGCTGGGGAAGAGTTGATGGCCAGCTCAAGCACTACCTTTCCTCATTGAGAGCCAGTGTGGTGTAGTGGTTAAGAGCGGTAGTCTCGTAATCTGGGGAACCGGGTTCGTGTCTCCGCTCCTCCACATGCAGCTGCTGGGTGACCTTGGGCCAGTCACACTTCTTTGAAGTCTCTCAGCCCCACTCACCTCACAGCGTGTTTGTTGTGGGGGAGGAAGGGAAAGGAGAATGTTAGCCGCTTTGAGACTCCTTAAAGGGAGTGAAAGGCGGGATATCAAATCCAAACTCCTCCTCTTCTTCTTCTTCTTCTTCTTCATACCTTAAAATGTGACAGAACAGTTGCTGTAGGCAGTGGTGGACCATGGCACCTCAGTTTCTGTGTCGCCCTGTGCGATGCCAAAATCCAGAGGGGGCCCCCCACCTCTTACCTTCCATTGGATGCCGTAGTCGCCATGACCCAGAAGATTGATGCCCAGTGTGGTTACACTAATCACTCTCCCCTAGATCTGCCTTTGCTGTGTGAGTAATGTGGGTCCCCCACCATTGCTTCATGCTGATCAGCGATGCAACCCAATAGACCCAACTGAAATTGAAATACTTTATTTTCACTTGTACAACTTGTATACAGTGAGATTACATGAGCACCCCCCACTCAGCTCTCTTAGTCTCAATTCCCCTCGTTTACTGACTCACACCCACCAAACCTAAAAGTCAGTTGCCCTGTTGTTATCTTTTCATTCAGCAGATATTCTTCAAGATATGGCAACCCTACATTCTGACTTCTGTCTGCCTTTGAAAAATAAATAAATGTCCCCAAATAGCAGAGCTAGTTATTTTTCAAGACATCATCACCATGAATCCTGGCCTGTCAGTTCATAGCTCATGTCCCGTAACATTTCTTGGAAAGTACCCATAAGGCACAGGTGTATTCTCCGGCAATCTGTCACTCATTGCTGTTTGGGAGTTTAGTGCTGACGGGATTCAATGGTGCTTCATCAGGGCGCTGCTTCTGCCCCTCCATGTCAGTTAAAAAACGGCCTAACTCTGCTGACACAGGGATCCTCAGGGGAAAACGTGGCAATGACTGATGACATCGCGTTTGTCCAGCCAGTAGTATTTTTATACCCCCCCTGGGCAAAACGGACCTTTTCTGACCGACGAGGGAGCTTCAGGGATGGCAGATGTTATCTGGAAAGCCATTTCAAAGAAAGCTGGGACTAGACAATTGTGGGTGGAGGGAGCTAATATGATGGGGGGGGGGGTGGAATAAAGAAATGGTGGTGTCAGTGTACTGCCATCGGAACGGGGTAAGGAAGCAGAGGGGCAGCTGGGTTACAGGGAACCTCCGAAAATCTTGCGGAGCAGTTCCTCTTCCTGTGGTGAGGAAAGCCACACCTTCTGTGGGGAAGAGGGGAAAGGACCAGAGGATGCTGCTGGGAGCCTCAGCACCACTCCTGGGGGGAAAGGATCAGAGGATGCTTGTGGGGGCCTCAGCACCGCTCCTTGCCAAGCCGGCCAGGAGGGAAGCACGCCTCTTCTGTTGCCCACCTTGCGCAGAGGGGTAAAACGCAAATAAGGAAGGAAAAGGCTGGGGGTGACGAAGCTCTTATGTTGGGGGAGGCCCAGGAAACAAGCACTCCCGGATTCTGCTAGCGATCGAGGCAGACATGAACTTGTGGCTCTGCACTGTAAATAGTTTTGCACCGAAATAAAACCTGTAAAAGACAGCTCAGATTCCTGAATGGTTACTCACGAGCAACCACTATTGCCATCTGACAGGTGGCATGGATTGGGGGAAGGGAGAGGAATAATTACCATTTGCCAAAATTAACTGGTACTGTAAAGATTAAGAATAAGCAGCACAGTGGTACCTCCGGTTAAGAACTTAACTCGTTCCGGAGGTCTGTTCTTAACTGTTCTTAACCTGAAGCACCACTTTAGCTAATGGGGCCTCCCGCTGCTGCCGTGTCGGCAGAGCACGATTTCTATTCTCATCCTGAAGCAAAGTTCTTAACCCGAGGTAATATTTCTGGGTTAGCAGAGTCTGTAACCTGAAGCATATGTAACCTGAAGCGTATGTAACCCGAAGTACCACTGCATTTGTGTTTGTGAAAGGAATGACAAAATCACAGCATTGCAAACAGTCGGGTTTCTTGTTTTTGCAGGTCTCCACCTGCAACTTACCTTCATGTGCCCTTTGGGGAAACTGGTTGCCCCAAGGGAGCATTATGCAAACCTTTTGCCGCATGCAATTGTGTGGATGTGGGAAATGCCAGAATACTCTGGCACTGGTTCCTTGACTTCAGAGGAATCGTCTCATCAGTGACCTTGGAACTGCTCCCTGGTTAGTTTCATCCTTGGGGAATAACAGAAGGAAACTCAACTTTGTGCAGATTGGAAACGTGTGTGTGTGTGGAGTTGCATGACTCGTCGGAATCCCTCTGAATCCAACCGAGCTGCTTTTCCGTGACAGCAATTATGCCCTTAACAGGAATCCAAGCACCCTGAAAGGCACAGCTCTTCTGTGTAACCTTGACTCCGCAAAGGCGACTTTATTTACTTGCTCTCCTCTCCTTGTGGCACCTCCAGGAAATCAGACGAGGAGCCTTCCCCTGAAGTCATGCAACTTGATTCTTCGAAATGTCATTGCCAGGAGTGCTGGCGTGTGGTGGAGGTGTCCCACTGGACCAGAGAAAGCTCCATGATCATCGCAGCATGGGAGGAAGCATTTTTAGCACCAAGAGGCTCGGGCTGGAAATGGGTCAGATGTGGGAGAATGGCTGTAAATGTGTCCATAGAAAGCTACCTTTTCCTTAATAGTGGGGAGAAATCGTTTGAACCTAGAGGGTGCCTGTTCATCAGTAGTGGCATGATTTTTAACACACAAAGTGATTTGTAAACCCTTGCCATAATAATAATAATACTTTATTATTTGTACCCCGCCCATCTGGCTGGGTTTCCCCAGCCACTCTGGGCGGCTTCCAACAAAGACCAAAAATACACTAAAATGACACGCATTAAAAACTTCCCTGAACAAGGCTGCCTTCAGATGTCTTCTGAATGTCAGGTAGTTGTTTATCTCTTTGACATCTGATGGGAGGGCGTACCACAGGGTACCGAGAAGGCCCTCTGCCTGGTTCCCTGTAGCTTTGCTTCTCGCAATGAGGGAACCGCCAGAAGGCCCTCGGAGCTGGACCTCAGTGTCCGGGCAGAACGATGGGGGTGGAGATGCTCCTTCAGGTATACTGGGCTGAGGCTATTTGGGGCTTTAAAGGTCAACACCAACACTTTGAATTGTGCTTGGAAATGTACTGAGAGCCAATGTAGGTCTTTCAAGACCGGTGTTATGTGGTCTCGGTGGCTGCCTCCAGTCACCAGTCTGACTGCCGCATTCTGGATTAGTTGTAGTTTCTGGGTCACCTTCAAAGGTAGCTCCACGTAGAGCACATTGCAGTAGTCCAAGCGGGAGATAACTAGAGCATGCACCACTCTGGTGAGACAGTCTGCGGGCAGGTAGGGTCTCAGCCTGTGTACCAGGTGGAGCTGGTAGACAGCTGCCCTGGATACAGAATTGACCTGCACCTCCATGGACAGCTGTGAGTCCAAAATGACTCTGAGGCTGCGCACCTGGTCCTTCAGGGGCACAGTTACCCCATTCAGGATCAGGGAGTTCTCCACACCAGCCCACCCCCTGTCCCCCAAGAACAGTACTTCTGTCTTGTCAGGATTCAACCTCAATTCATTAGCTGCCATCCATCCTCCAACCGCCTTCAGGCACTCACACAGGACCTTCACCGCCTTCGCTGGATCTGATTTGAAAGAGAGGTACCTTATGAAGGTACCTTATGCAGTCTTTTGTATTCCATCTACTGCTTTAGTTTAATTATTGGGCACCACAGTTCTTTAATGATCAGGGACCACAGTTCATTTATCTGGAACCACAGAGAGAGCCTCTTTGGTGGTCGAACTTAGAAATGGCAAGAAAATTGATTCGGTTAACGTATAAAGGCAAACCTACCTAATTCGTCCTTTCCAAAACAATATGAGAACCAAAACATGGCTGTCCTTCAAAATTTTGCAGTGCAAACTGTGAGCCAAGTATTGTGTACAGAAATGCACATATTAGGGTAAAGTGTGCAGGAAAATACACGTTGTATCAGGGGAAATCGCTTTGCAAAAATGTGCCTATAATGCAAAATTGCATACAAATATGTGCATGCTAGGAGATATTTGCTGGTGAGTTTTCATTAGGACTTTAAAAACAAACAAACATGTAACGATATGTGGAGAAGTGAAAGAAGCTTTAGAGAAGTGGGAAACTGAAATGGGAATAGTCACCCATTACTGGGCATCTCCCAAGAGAGGCTCATCTTGTCTCATCTTACTGGTTTTCCACCAAATGGTGAAAACTTGCCATAGATATAGATCTATGGAAGCCTTTGATCACCTGTTTCCTTATTCTGTTGCTGACTTTATTGTTCCCAGTTTTAACAAGAGCATTTAATATGCATTCCATTTCACAATGGCCTTTTTTATAATGTTTCTGAATTTTATGCATGATGTGCTGTTAATTTTTATTGTTGTTCGTTACCTTGAACTTCCTGAAAAGGCAGGGGATGTGCGTTTGTTAAACATGAATACAAATGAACAAGCCATTTGCTGAACCAGACCCTTGGTCCATTTAGCTCAGCGTTGTGTGCTATGAATGGAAGCAGCACTCCAAAGCAATTTACCACTGCTATTTATTGCATTTTTATCCCAGTTTTCCCACCAAGGGGTTCAAGGTGGTGTGAATTGTTCCCTCGCTTATTTAATCCCCACAACAACCCTGTGAGGTAGGTCAGGCTGAGAAGCAGCGAATGGCCCAAGGTCACCCAGTGAGCTTCGTGGTTGAGTGGGGATTTGAACCCAAGTCTCCCAGGTACTTAGTCCAACACTCTAACTACTCTCCCAGTATGCCCCACGGAGGACCCTAAGGTCCATAAATAGCAACACCCTAGAGGTCCTGGGCCCTAAGGAAGTTAGATTAGCCTCAACCAGAGCCAGGGCCTTTTCAGCACTGGACCCAGCTTAGCGGAACGCTCTGTCTCTTGAGACCAGGGCCCTGCAGGATCTGATTTCTTTCCGCAGGGTCTGTAAGACAGAGTTATTCTGCCTGGCCTTTGGCTTGGAATCAACTTGATCCCCTTCCCCTCTTTCCTTTTTCCTTTCTCCTTCTGTGATGGAATTCCTATTTGGGGACTTCCTTGGGCTTTTCCTGACCCACGTAGGACCAGTCTGGATAGTTAGCCTTGGTGAAGACTTGATGTTTTCATCCCCCAAAAAGTTTTTGATTTGAGTTTCTACTGAAATTGAGGCTGCATTTTTAATGTTGTATTTTAATGTTGTTTTTAAGTTGTATTTCAGTCAATTGTTTTTATACCTGGTGTTAGCCGCCCTGAGCCCGGTCTTGGCTGGGGAGGGCAGGGTATAAATAATTATTTTTTATATTATTATTATTATTATTATTATTATTATTATTATTATTATTATCATGCTGGCTTTTCTAGGGTGAACCAGGAACTCAGTATGTACTCTTGGGCAAGTCACACTCCCTCTTCAATGCACACTCACGTGAGTCAGCTTGGAATACCTAGACCCACCTTACAGAGTTGTTGGATGCCCCTCCTGGTATGCCCCGCAGAGGACCTTAAGGTCCACAAATGACCTTAGATTGGTCTCAACTAGGGCCAGGGCCTTTTCAGTGCTGGCCCCGACTTGGTAGAACGCTCTGTCACAAGAGACTAGGGCCTGCAAGACAGAGCTGTTCCGCCTGGCCTTTGGTTTGGACTCAGTCTGACCCTTATGTTTCCCTCCCTTTATGGTCTTAATTTATCAGCTATTTTAAAATGCGGCTGCATTTTAAATTGCATTTTAACCTGTATTTTAAATTGTTGTTTTTTTTCTTCCTCTTTTTCCGCTATTTTGTTTTTACTGTGATTTTATTGGTGTTAGCCGTCCTGAGCCTGGCTCTGGCTGGGGAGGGTGGGGTATAAATATATTTATTATTAGTAGTAGTATTAGTATTATTATTAGTATTATTATTATTTAGTCGTTTAGTCATGTCCGACTCTTCGTGACACCATGGACCAGAGCATGCCAGGCCCTCCTGTCTTCCACTGCCTCCCGCAGTTTGGTCAAACTCATGCTGGTAGCTTCGAGAACACTGTCCAACCATCTCGTCCTCCGTCATCCCCTTCTCCTTGCGCCCTCCATCTTTCCCAATATCAGGGTCTTTTCCAGGGAGTCTTCTCTTCTCATGAGGTGGGCAAAGTATTGGAGCCTTAGCTTCAGGATCTGTCCTTCCAGTGAGCACTCAGGGCTGATTTCCTTCAGAATGGATAGGTTTGATCTTCTTGCAGTCAAGAGTCTCCTCCAGCACCATAATTCAAAAGCATCCATTCTTCGGCCATCAGCCTTTTTTATGGTCCAGCTCTCACTTCCATACATCACTACTGGGAAAACCATAGCTTTAACTATACGTACCTTTGTTGGCAAGGTGATGTCTCTGCTTTTTCAGATGCTGTCTAAGTTTATCATTGCTTTTCGCTCAAGAAGCAGACGTCTTTATTATTATTATTATTACTGGGTAGTATACGTGAATAGGTTTTAATCTCCAGGGCTTCACAACACTGTCTGGAATTGCAAACTGAACGTAAGCAAACTCAGCATGACTCCTCTCCCCTTGTCGTCCACAGCTCACCCGAGTGCCAGTGGAGTCCTGCGGACAGTACAAAAGCTGCAGCGAGTGCCTGGGCTCAGGGGACCCCCACTGCGGATGGTGTGTGCTCCACAACGCGTAAGTGTGTGGGTCACAGGGTCGAGGGATGGGTGGGGGCGTGGCAGGGGCAGCAGGCCCCAGGGCTTCCTTCCCATTTCCTTCCTCCCCAACCTCACGTTTTCTCACTGTGACACAGAACAAAGCTGCAAATGGACACAGCAGCCGTCCCCGGTGGGACGAAGGCAGTCGTTCGGAAAGGCAGCCTGAGAGTTCCAGCTTCAGAAAGAGAGAGGCAGGGTTGCTTTCTGAAGATGGGGAAATGTGTCCTTTGGTAGAATTTAAAGGACAAAAACAATTGTCAGGGCAAAAGTCAGGGAACCTGTCCCCTGCTTCCTCTGCTCACTGATAGAAAAATGACAGTCACGGAACTGAGAAATTGCACAAAACAAATGAAATACCATGAAAATCCCTGAAATGAGAAGTAATCGACTAGAAATATTATCTTGTGGAAATAAACTAAGAAAAATCAACTAAGAAAAATGAAAACGCTTAAGGAAAAAGTTAAAACAACCTAAAATTGAACAAGGGACGCGGGTGGTGCTGTGGGTTAAACCACAGAGCCTAGGACGTGCCGATCAGAAGGTCGGTAGTTCGAATCCCCATGATGGGGTGAGCTCCCGTTGCTTGGTCCCTGCTCCTGCCAACCTAGCAGTTCGAAAGCACAAAGTTCAAGTAGATAAATAGGTACCGCTCTGGCGGGAAGGTAAACGGCGTTTCCGTGTTCTGCTCTGGTTCGCCAGAAGCGGCTTAGTCATGCTGGCCACATGACCCGGAAGCTGTACGCCGGCTCCCTCGGCCAGTAAAGCGAGATGAGCGCTGCAACCCCAGAGTCGGTCACGACTGGACCTAATGGTCAGGGGTCCCTTTACCTTTACCTTTTAAAATTGAACAAAGCCTTGACGGGATGCCAGCTACAAACCTCATTTCACTGAACTATTCAGTTTCCTCAGAAGGCAATAGAAAAATCATAAACTTTAAATGACCACAATTTCAAAAAAAAGGGTAGATCCCCCCAAAATTCTGAAGTATTGTAATCCTAGCTCGACCTAGGTAAAGCAAAGCGAATTAATAAAGACTAGAAGACCCAAAAGTACAGTTACTAGTACTGAATTTACAAGCAAGGTTTGAAAACCTAAATGGCAAGTTTTAAACACAGCCCAGCTTGACGGAAGCAAAGCACAGTAATAGAAAGTTGAGGACTCAACTTGTGAAAATTCTAGTGCTGCTTTTACAAAAAGGTTTAAAAACCTAAATGGCACAAATTCAGAGAAAGGAATACAAGATAAGCTGTTTTTAAACAAACTCAAGAACAGGGCTGAAACGCTCTGCTCACTCAGCCCAAACAGAAAGCATTCTGTGTGGTGCCTTTGAGACTAAGGGACTATCTATCCTATAGACTTAAACTGGTCTATTAATTAAAATAATTAATTTCCTTTGCGACGGACCCCTTTTCCTGCAGCATAGGCTGCTGTCTGCTTGTAGATCGCTAAGATCTGTATTGCTTAAGTGGATCTGGGGGGAGCTGGTGGGCAAGGGAGCGGGGAGCTGCCTCGCAGCAGCGGGATCACATTTGTGGGCTGCCCGAGCCTCTGATGCATTGAGGTGGTCTGGCAAAGGCCCCCTAAGATGCCATACCAGGCCTGGAGATAGAATTTGCTCTGCACTCCGAGCCTTGATGGAAACATATGCTGCTGCTTTTGCTCTCTCTGCGTGGAGTCTCCGGGACTGATGTCCAGAAGAGCAATTTGCAGCTTACACTGTTTCAAAGGCTACCCCAGGGCGCCAGCAGTCAATGCAAAAGCAGCCGTGAGACGGCGGTAGCTGAGCGCTGGAGAAAGCTTTGGCTGTTGGACGCATTGCTTTCCTTTCCTGGCTCCCTCTTCTGCTTGAGAGACTGACGTCTCTTTCCAAGGGGCGGCCTGGCATGGATCGGGGAATTGATTTCTGCGACTCTTCTGTCCTAAGCTTACAGGGGGGAATTTGAGTCCGTGTGTGCAGGAGAGAGAGAGGGAGAGAGAGAGAGAGAGAGAGAGAGAGAGAGAGAGAGAGAGAGAGAGAGAGAAGGCAGTTTGGAAAATAAGGGGGCATTGATTGGGTTTTACGTGGCAAAGAGGGGGATCTGGGAAAAGCGGGCCATCAAAGCTTCAGAGTGCAGTATCTTTTGCCTGCATCTAATTCTCAGGTGTTCTCCTCCATCTCCTCTCACTGCCTCCCGCCGCCCAACACACACACAGAAACACACACACACCATCCAAAGCCTCAGAGGCCACGATACAGGGGCCTCTTTAACCTGCAATGTCTTGCTTGGAGGGTGCAAATCGGAAAGATGTCCAATTAGCTGCCATGGAGGTCTCCGGGGGAGGAGAGGGGAGGTGAAAAAGGAAACCTGACTGAAAAGTTAATAGCTGGCTTAGGAAGGAGAGAGAGAAAGAAGGAGCAAGACTCTGCCTAGGCAACTGTGGTGAGCAATGTCTGAACGCAAGGTCACGGCAATGACATGGGACTGGAGGGCATTTTCTTGGCAAGGTCTATGCCTGAATTCAGAATCTGGTGCCCAGCAGGGTACCATTTTGCTGCCTGCCAGCTACACTCCTCTGCTCCCTTTTTTGAAGGTCTCTGTATACAAGGCCCAATTCCAGGAGGGTCTTGCAATACCTGGAAGACTGGGGTTTGCCTGCAAGCTGCGACCATGTTATCCCTTGACACTTGATAGCTGTGTTTTTAGATTCCTCCTGAGTCTCCTTCTTGACCTCCACAGTCACTGGCTTGGCCAGATAGAGTATCTAGTCTTCTCTTGCCACTTCTGTTGGCCCAGCAACTGAGGACTGTGATGTCACAATTCCCTGTAACATCACAGCTCGCCAGCCAACGGCACCCACCAATCAGGTGTCCTACATCCTAGAGCATCCTTTGTTAAGTTGAAGGTAAAACGTGCTTCCCTTAAAAACAAAATCAGTGAGGGCGCAGAGCTCAGGCAAGCTGGCAGCCAGGACTCATTGCCTTGAATAAACAGCCTAGGGGGAGATATTATAAGGAAACTCCTCCTATGGGGATTTCAGATCAGGGAATGTGGACACCTGGGGAGGCTGCAGCCCTCCAGAGGATAGTTTAAACATGTCATCCTCAATCACCTCACATTGACAGAGCAAGCTCAGGTAATTCTTCATGCAACACATAATTAAACTGTGGATCTCGCTTCCAGATTAGGCATTGATGTTCACCAACCAGGATGGCTTTAAAAGAGGAGTATATTAATTCATGGGGAGGATGGGGTGATTGATGGCTGCTAGCCATGATGGAGGATGTGCTGTGCCTCAACCCTGCACCTGTTGTAAGCCAGAAAATAGCTTATCTCCTGAGTTTACGCCAATAAAGCTCAGAAATGTGAGGAGTTAGGAGTCCAGCATTGTTTACTGCGAAGCAATAGGTTACAGTCGGATCGTTCCGCAAAACTGCAACCCTGCCCAGTAGGTCCAGGCAGTGGTATTCATAACATTTCAAACAAAGCATTTCAATTTTCACCGATCATATACATCATTACCTCATTTCATGTTTTACACATGCACAATAAGCACTAGCAATTTCCCCACTGTGTTCTGTTACATTGTGTTAGTGTGTTTGTTGGGAACCTGTGTTACATGTAGCCATTTGCACCATGTAGCAACTTATGTTCTAGCTTTGAGCTGTGTCTTTGTGATTCACATATTAGCTGTGTTTCTGCCCCAATGGGGGGGAGGCAACTTGCAAAATCATCGGTTTCATTAAGTAAGGTAAAGGGACCCCTGACATTGCCGTTTGAGCTTCGGGTAGCAACTACATCACCCCTTCCTTGCGCTGGGGAAGAGTTGATGGCCAGCTCAGGCACTAAAGGTAAAGGTAAAGGGACCCCTGACCATTAGGTCCAGTCGTGGCCGACTCTGGGGTTGCGGCACTCATCTCACTTTATTGGCTGAGGGAGCCAGCGTACAGCGTACATGTGGCCAGCATGACTAAGCCGCTTCTGGCGAACCAGAGCAGCACATGGTAACACCGTTTACCTTCCCGCTGGAGCGGTACCTATTTATCTACTTGCACTTTGACGTGCTTTCGAACTGCTAGGTTGGCAGGAGCAGGGACCGAGCAACAGGAGCTCACCCCGTCGCGGGGATTCGAACCGCTGACCTTCTGATCGGCAAGTCCTAGGCTCTGTGGTTTAACCCACAGTGCCACCCGCATCCTCATAAAGTAAGAGGCTACCATAACTTCTCTATTAGAAGCACACTCAAGGATTTACAGGGGTACAGATTATTACATTTACTGTGGCCCTTTGGGCGACTGCCACACACCCACTGGAATTCTAAATAAATTCTAAATCACCCCGAGAAAGATGCAGGGAAAAAAGGGGGAACTTATTACTTTCAGGAAATTGTAGGGTATTTTTTGGCTCAGCGCTACTCCTGGAAGATCTGGGCTATGCTGATGAAGCCTGTTTGGGTTGGAGAGTATGCATTTCACGTCTCCTAGCTTTCCAAGAGCTTCTTAGCAAACTTTCCTCAAAGGGGAGGAAAACTCCATTGAAGCCGCTGATCTCAGATTATTTTGTCGGGCTGGGAGGAGGGAAGGTTTTAATTTTACCCTTTCAACTTTTCCCTTCCCTTCTGCTGCCTCGGCCATGGAAATAAATATTGTCTGGTCTCGGCGGGTAACTCAATCCCGCCATTCACAGGCAGGTCCTCATCGATCGACCTCCGCTTTACCTTTCTTGGTCAAAGTCTTGCGAGCCGCTAAGCGGGGCCTCAGGTAATCCAAGCTGCCTTCAGAGGCTGTGATAAAAATCAGGCTCTTTGAAAGCCTTTCTGCCTTGCCTTTTTGAATGCCACTCTGCCTTGGCAACTTACTTTGATGACTGCTGCAGGAGGATGCAGCCCTCCTCGGATCCTGGCAAGCTGAACTTGGGGCAGACTCGTGGCAATTCATTCATTTTAAATTACCTGATCTCGATGGCTTTAAAAGAGAATTCGACAACTTCTTGGGGGAGAGGGCTAACACTGCTTACTTGCCACAGTGGTTATGCTGGAGGCAGCAATGCTTTTGAATACGATACGACAACGATACGATAATCTTTATTGTCATTGCCCCATGCAGAACAACGAAATTGAAAAAATCTACATCAGACATTCAAAACCAACAAGCCTGCTATCCCAGCTATCCCAACCTGCTAAGCCCCCTAAAATCTCTGATACCCCATTTTTAAATACAATATACTCCCATAGAGACTACCTTACACTGCGTTTAAAACCAAAATCGCATTTGGATAGAAACTGTTTCTCAGGCGGCTAGTCCTAGTCTTTATAACCCTGTACCTTCTTCTAGAAGGCAGAAGCTGAAAGAGATCATTTCCGGGGTGCGCACTATCCTGCACTATCTCTGCAGCTTTCTTATGGCACCTGGAAGCATGTTAGGTGCTTTTGCATTGAATTTGGGCATGGAAATCCACTGGTTAATTCTGCTTTACTTTTCATTTGTCAGAAACCTACTTGCATGGCAAGGTCCCGACCCCCCCCCCCGGTAGTTGAAATAATAATAATAATAATAATAATAATAATAATAATAATAATTTATTTATACCCCGCCCTCCCCAGCCAGAGCCAGGCTCAGGGCGGCTAACACCAGTAAAATTACAGTAAAAACATAATAGGGGATTTAAAATACAGGTTAAAATGCAATTTAAAATGCAGCCTCATTTTAAAAGTAGCCCGTAGATCAAGACCATAAGGGGAGGGAAACATAAGGGTCAGACTGAGTCCAAACCGAAGGCCAGGCAGAACAGCTCTGTCCTGCAGGCCCTGTGGAAAGATGTCAAGTCCTGCAGGAGAGTCCGCAACCCCACCTCCTCCTTAAGGCAGAAGTGGCTTTCCCAAAAACTGCAGCGGATGAACTTGAGATGAAGATGTTGTGGAGAACTGAATAAATTTCCTTATTCAGCCTCTCTGTAACATGATTTGTAAGTCAAAAGCCTGAGCCGTTTTAGGCATATCTCCTCCAGGCAAACGATCTGTTTGCTTTCTGCTTGCCTGACTATTTGAGTTGCTTCCCTTTCTCTCTCCCTCCTTCTCCTTTCTCTTATTCCTTTTTGGATGTGCCAAATTCAACACCGTTTTCTTAACAGGCCCACATTGCAGCATAAAATTTGATTTCATGGGATTCATTATTTGCACCTCCAGACAACCAAAGACGAGCTCAAAGCCACTTGCAACATGAAGAATGCACCGACCAATAAAAGCACTCCCCGAAACAAAGTAAATATGCAATAACAGTATAGCTGGCAACGAAACACTTTGGGCTGGCCCTGTCTTTGTGCAGCTCCAGAAATGAGAGATCTGGATGTGAGAGAGTGTCTCTGCTGGCGATCCCAGAGAATTCTTGCCAGTCAGATGTAGACAGTTCAGAACTAGTGAGACCAATGGCTTGGAAACAGATAACATACCCTCCAACATTTTTCAAATAAAATAGGGACATTGTATTCCATAATATTGAGGGACCGGGTGGCGCTGTGGGTTAAACCACAGAGCCTAGGACTTGCCGATTAGAAGGTCGGAGGTTCGAATCCCTGTGACGGAGTGAGCTCCCGTTGCTCGGTTCCTGCTCCTGCCAACCTAGCAGTTCGAAAGCACATCAAAGTGAAAGTAGATAAATAGGTACTGCTCCGGCGGGAAGGTAAACGGCGTTTCTGTGCGCTGCTCTGGTTTGCCAGAAGCGGCTTAGTCATGCTGGCCACATGACCCGGAAGCTGTACGCCGGCTCCCTTGGCCAATAAAGCGAGATGAGCGCCGCAACCCCAGAGTCGGTCACGACTGGACCTAATGGTCAGGAGTCCCTTTACCTTCACTTTACCTATTCCATAATATTAATAATTTTATTATTTATACTCCACTCATCTGACTGGGTTGCCCCAGCCACTCTGGGCAGCTTCCAACATATATAAAAACAGAATAAAACATTAAACATAAAAAATTCCCTAAACAGGGCTGCCTTCAGGTGTCTTCTAAAGGTTGTAGAGTTAGTTTTCTCCTTGGTTCGGGGGTTGCATAGCTCCATACCTTCCAACATTTCTCTGATGAAAATAGGGATGTCCTAAGGACATTCCGGGATCAAATCAGAAACTAGGATGACTTCTGTAAATCTGGGTCTATCCCTGGGAAATAGGGATACTTGGTCAGGGATAAGACTCTAGGACCAACCCGGGAGGTGTGATAATATTAGCATGGAGACTTAGGGGCCAAGGAAGGTTGGAAGATTCAGGACATACAAAGAAAGTATCGTATTTTTCACCCCATAAGACGCACCTGACCATAAGACGCACCAAGTTTTTAGAGGAGGAAAACGAGGAAAAAAAATATTCTGAACGAAACAGTGGATGTATGATTTTGCGGTCCATGCTGTGGCCACAGACATGATATGTGATTTGACGGTGAGTTTAGGGTAGCCCAGTGCAAAAATCCTGAGAATCCATGTGGATCCGTGCTTTGTAACCACGTTTTTGCGCCATTGCGGCCCCACGAAACAGTGGGTGCGTGATATTTTTGGTGCAAGCTATAGCCATGGACATGCTATGTGATCTGATGGTGAATTTGGGGTGACCCAATGGAAAAATCCTGAGGATCCATGTGCTTTTACCTCCCCCCTCTCAGGCAGCCTCTTTTATCGCTAGAGTCCCTTATCTCCCTCCCGATCACTTGCTGATCAGCTGATCAGCGGCTTCATTTCTACACCCCCTTCCCTCTTTTTAAAAATAAAAG